ATTCCTTCATTTGAAAAAATATATCAGGGCCTCCCTGGTGGCCCAAGGGATTAAGACGCAGCACTATGAAGCAATCCGCAGACACTGCAACACAAGTTCAATCACCGGCCACGGAGGTGACCCACATGGCAGCAGCAGAACACTCCTGACTTACCTGCTGCTCCCCTCAGTAGTGCATTTAGGGCAATCTGCCTGTTCTGCTCCCCATTCTATCTCTGGTGAATCCTCTCACCCCCTGCACCTCTGACCTGTACCCTGGTTCTTGTATGCATAAATAAATAAATCTTTAAAAAAAATACAGTATCAAAAGTATGAATGGCTACAAACAATAAATAAAGCATAGGATTTCCCAGAATCCTATTTCATCCTGACACTCTATATTTCATCAGTTTGGAGAACAGGAGAAGGCCTTTCTCCATGTAATTCACTTGTTTCTTTTCACAAGCTAAATAATAACAACATGTTGTCTGGCTCCTCCAGCATAAATGACTCCAGAACTTTAAAATTAGTTTTCATGATTGAATGGGTGGGAGAGATGCAGGTTCTCTGAGAATGAATGGCACAGGAGTAACTGCTCTTAAAAGAAACATAACCCAAAGGGGGCCAGAGTGGTGAACCCCTAGGCAAGACTAGTTCTGCTGAGGTCTAGTAGGAGGGCCTGAAATCAGAAAAAAAGAAGAGGGAGGTTATATTGCTAGGTCTGTGCCAAGAGCCTTCCTGTGTGCTTCTCAGGTCTCCTCTGCATGGGCTTATTTGCTCCTATACATGTGTACAATATGACAGTTTCTTTTTTTTAAAGATTTATTTATTTATGCATACAAGAATTGGGGTCAGGCCAGATGCGTGGGAGGTGAGAGGATTCACCAGAGACAGAGAAGGCAGCAGAACAGGCAGATGTACTGAAATTCACTGCTGAGGGGAGCAGAGGATAAGACAGAAGAGGTCTGGGGCACAATGTAGCTCTCTGGCGGGCCGCAGGATCAAACTCATGCTGCAGTGGCTGCGGATAGCCTCATAGTGCTGTGTCTTAACCCCTTGTGCCACCAGGGAGACCCTATTATGACATTTTCCAGAACGATCCCCATCCAAGTTATTGCCCTGTCTTATTTGAGTACTTGAGGTGAGAACTTACATCTAGATTTTTTCATTTAGAAAGTACATTACTATCAACAGTGAACCATTATTGTTGCCTGATAGTGTTCATTCTCTTCTAAGTGGATAAATACTTGGCTTCCTGAGAAAAGTTTTCTAATCCTCAGGAAAAGAGGGCAGGTTCACTTCTGAAAGATAACATCATGGTTAGTTTTACTATGGTGCCCCCTAGTGCTGTGTGAGTTCAGATTCACTTTCCATATTTGCCAATATGTAGACCACATAGGAGAAGCGAAATTTGGAGAAGCAACAGTTCTGGTTATTTTTCCTGTGTCTTCTTTTGCCTAAAATAGAATGAAGTGTGTTCCCTTCAGATGAGTCACGATTCCCTTTGTGATCTGCCTCCACCTAGATTTTCATCCTCATCTTCCACCATGTTCCCCATAAACACCCAAAATTGAACCATTCTGGACAACTTGCTATTCTGCCTGGAAAACCTATCCCTAGTCAAGTACCCCATCCCTCTTGTCTATCTAAAGAACTTCTAATCCTCCTTCTAATAACAGCTGAAATATTACCTCCTTCCCCAGGTTCTACCTTCTATTGCTCATGTGTTAAATAGTCTGTCTTTGATACCCACTAAAAAAATGCAGTGATTCTTTGCATTTTCCTTAATTGATTCTAATTATAACCATCATTAACATGGAACTGGTCAGCTCACTTTCCAACAACCCTTCACTTCTGTTTTCCCCCTATAATCAAAAGTGACAAGAATGATGACTTCAAGACCACATATCTATAAAATACTATGTAATATAAATTTACAAAATCTTCTCACCTTGTAGGTTTTTCCTGAAGTCACAGCTAAGTCTAGAAGCCTGATCCTTTAACCAGCAATTTCAACAAATTTCCAAACAGTGTGTATTGGTGTCAGAAGCTCTCAGCTTCATAACTTTGTTTCATATCCATTGTTATAGTATATCCACTTCTTCCCCCTTTCCAAATAAGATATTTTGCTAACCCCAAATAGGTTAGATATGTACATAATATATAAATAAGTACAGAAAACTAATATATGGGCAAACTTTTCTTCTTCCTGTCCCTTCTTAAGAACTAGGAAATCCACAAGTTTTAAAATTCTTCTTATCTTACTTATCTTACTTACTTGTGTTTTGTGTCACTCAAATCCTCCTGTCCTTTCCTACGAATATATACAAAAAAACCACACAGGACACTGAATTGTAAGAATTCTTTCTGATCATTCGTCCAACTGACTCATGTTACAAATGAGAAAAAGCAAGGCCCAAACAGAAAAGTGAATTATACGGAGAGTGGATAAGGGCTCTCTTGTTCTGGCATATTTCAAAAATGAAAACTTTATCCTCTCATAAAGTTAATAAAATTAAACACAATGGTGATAAAGCTGAGATTACTAAATTAACTTGATAGGTGGGAAAGCTGATCGCCAAATAGAGTTTAAGACTTAAATATTCATTTTTATAGGATCATCTGTATAGGCAATTATTTTCTAAAGGTAAAAAATTAAATCTAAGAAGTAAGGGAAAAATCATGATTCTTCTCCAAATACCTTTCTCCTACAACAGAATAGATCCAATTTAACTGGATAAATAATGTACATTTCAGCTCTATTTTTACTGCCTGTACACTTCATTATAATATTGTCTAATGAAAGTAGAGATTTGACTTGCATCACCACCGACCCATCTTTCAACCAAAATTCCAAAAGTTCCTATAGATGAGTTTAGTCTATAGATCAGTTGTTACTGTGTCTATGTGCCTTTTTCAATAGCTACTCTACAACCTTCTCTTTTATATTTTCTCTTTTTCACCCTCACCACACACGCGCGCGCGTGCATACACATACACACACACACACTCACACACAGACACACTGCTGCCATCACTATTTTATCACATTTTCAGGGAAAACACACACTTCCTGTGTGTGCTGTCCTCCTTCCTAATAAAGTATACGAGATTAAATAAAGGACCTAGTGTGTTCTGTCATTATATTATATGAATGTAATATAGAAGTAATTATATTAGCTTAACAGCTAAACAATCTAGCTCAAAATTTTAAAAAAGACATTAATGTCGGGTGAAGAATTTCAAGTATCCAGGTCCAAAAATACCTGTATCCAGAGTATACAGATAATATGTTTCTTGAGCAAACAACTCTAACATATCTGCCATGTCTTACTTCCATTTGTTCCAGGACCAGAGAAAGCTGGTCCCAACGACTGGTTCATCGTGATTTCTAATGTTCTGGAAAACAGCAGTCCACTTGCCTTCCAGGCTTTGTCACAGAATTGCAAGGTGCCTTGCCAGAAAGGACCCCTCCCCTTCTTAGCATCCTCTGGTTATTGATAGTTCAGGCAGCCCCACCACCAAGTGGTTTTACCTTTTGCCCTTTCTTGCTGAGCACCCTAGTGCAATTGTTTATCCTTGACTCTAGCCATCTGCCCTGTCTTTGTATCATCCCACAGTGTGAGGAAATATGTATCACTGTGGTTTTTTTTTTTTTTTTTTTTTGAAAAAGAACTCTCAGAGCTCCTAGACCTGGTGAAGGCACTCAGCTGTTCTATTTTTGGTTACTCTCTTTGTTTTCTTCTCGGAAGAGCCTAATTCCGGTCTATATCTTGGGCATCCTGCCATGGACACACAGCTCCCCTCCCCAGATTGCCTGTTCTAATGTCACCCAAATGGCTCAACACAAAAAGAAACTTGTGATGTGGAGAGGACAGGTGTGTTCTTCCCACTGGTCTGCAGACTTGAGCATCATACCCGCTACGCTTCTGGAATTTGGCGACACGAGACCTCTCTGCGGTACCGTGATCACAACCACACTCTGTGCACCAAAAACCCCTATTTCCTGTAGGTAAAGACAAGCCCAGACATTACGAGGACTGTGCTCCTCTAATCCTGGTTTAACTTGGGGCGACCCTTTTCTGACATGTCCATCAGAAATAAAAATTCCTATTGCCTCCTCTTTACTAAGGAGAGATTTTTCTAACCCAAAATGAACCTGCCAGGGAAATAAGAATCATCAGACTAACCCGGACAGGTCACAGAGGGAGAACACTTATATATTTTATTTTCAGTGGTGTCTCCTGCAGTCAAGAATGTCCTTATGGAGTTAATGCTTATAGATATGAATAAGTAAACAAGCAAAAAATAATATCAAAGAGACCAGAATAAAGAAAAGGAAAAAATAGAGAGTGTATTTATTAATTGGGGAAAATACCAGAGAGGTGATCACCCACTATATAAGGCACTGGACATAGTGAATAAAGACCAAGAGATATCTGTAAGTTCTGATTGGTAAAGATTGTGTGAAATGATACCTGACTCACTTGTTGGGGTAGATGTTTAGACATGTGTGTATACAGACAGGCACACATACACCTTAGCCCTTAAAATGCATAAGTTAGCATTTAAAAGAACTTAATAATATTGACAGCTTTAGCATTTTTCACAAAGCAAATCTAGAGTGTCTATGGGGTTTATGAATATGATGGGAAAAGTAGAACCATTCTCTCTCTCGTTTCCTTTTTCTATTAATTCTCTGGTCATTAGCAGAATAGATAAATCAAGTCTATTAGTAACTCGGAGCTTCAAAGTGACAGCTCCTAAAGGCATACAACGTTTTCACATTGCAAAGTAATCCCGAAGCCCTTGTCGAGTTCCACTGAGCCCAACCACTACAATGTACCGAAAAGAGGGAAGGAAGAGACAGGAGGGTCTTGATACTTAACAGTCGCTGAAGGGAACAGGAAAAAAAACTCGACCATTTTGGCATCCGATCATTTCCATGTGACCGTTTGCAGTTGTTGGAGCAGCGAACAGCATGAGTTGAAGAAAACCAAGCGCTGAGTGTTACATCTTACCTGGTAAGAAAGGAAGTGCTGGCAGATGTACGTGAGACACAGGAGCAGCCCCAGCCCCTGAACCACGGAGACCACCAGCCATAGCTTGTTACTTGGGAATCTCCTCCCGGGTGCGTTCTCCAGATTCTCATCCAGGGGCTGGCCCCCTTCCATCTTCACAGGCTGCATGCAAGGAAGATGAAAAGGATGGTAAAGGAGAGCAAGAGCAAGGACTGACCTTTCTCTGCAAAGGAGAAGCTGAGGGCAAAACAAAGTGTATCAATCAGAAAACAGTCAGTAAGCCCCAACGCCAGAGATAAGAAGCAATTGAAAGAGCAGAACGGACTCTCTCAGTTTTAATGCTGCAGCTCTTCAGGCAGGCGGGGGAACTTCTTTGTGACTAATCTGAATTTCCCCTTTACTTTCTTTCTTTTTTTTTTTCCTCTGGGCTAACAGGGAGTTGTTTTTGTGGCATTCCAGTTCTGATTTGAGTGACTGCGAAGTGACACTCATTAGCGTATGCTATTTTTTTAATTTCTCATTGCACCAGGAACCAAATGGCAGGTCACTCTTTAGATAGGAGGATGATTATCCGTTGATGATAGATAGCTTATCTATCCCTTCCAAGAAATGAAATCATAGAAAAGATTTAAGGAAGATGTTCACCTACAGTTCTTGCATGCATTTTACTGGGTAACTAAGCATTTGATCGAATTCCAGTTTCAGAATAAAAGCACACCCCAAACATTCTTGAAGTGAAAAAGAAGAAAATAGGATGGTGGACCATGTAGAAGTAGAGGAGTGACATCCTGTAGTTTTTAGTCCATTATATTATAATTAAGTAGTATTTAATGAGCAACCACTCCATGTTACACTCTGTGCTACACAACTTTATAATTTTTTCTCATTTTTCTCATTTACTGTTTGAGGCAAATTGTGCTGGCTGGGGAGAGTCTGTTTAAGATGAAATTGGTTCTCTTCTGTGTGGGAAACAACTGAACTCCTTGAACTCCCCATTAGCCACTCAACATGTAAGGAAAGAAAGGAAAAATATTTCATCTTCAACAATATGGTTTTAAGAAAGTGTACATGAGGCTTAGTCAAAAAAGAAACAGCGGTGGGAAATGAAAAACACATGTTTTGTTACACTATTAATCAATAAAAACATGAATAACCTTATAATAATTATGCCTTGCATTTAGCAAATACTTCAGTCTTCAGTAATAAAAATTTTTGTAGAAAAATAAGGTAACTGAGATACTATATCATAGACTCCAAGCAAAACTAGAAACCAAGTTGCAAGTAAACTTACATAGAACTAGTGTTGACCTCAAACAAAAGCAACAGCTATTCCAACAATTAATAGGCTTTATTCAGAAACAGACAAAAGAGGGTAAACAGGAGAGTGTGTTCAGGGTGAGACTCATGCTTCTTCATAGCCCCGGCTAACAACCCCCTGATCAGCCTCTGGAGGACCTCCCCATTAGTTCCACCAGAGAGTGACACAGCATCCCTGTCCATGGGCGATACCAGGCATTTTGGGCCCTGTAGTTTGCTAAAACATGGTGGCACTCTCTTGCCTTCCAACCTCATTTAAATAGGGTTCTGAATATTAATGTTAGTAATAGTTATTCCTATGAGTGAAATACATGTAACACGCAGGGTGTGGTGAAAAAAAATGGGAGAAAAATCAATTGGGGGGACCCAATTCTTGCATAAGACATTAACATTGGTAGTTACTCATTTTCATTTTCAAAAACTGACTAAAAGAATCACAGCAAAAAAAAAAAAAAATACTATGGGAAACTAAAAAATAAATATTGAATTACTTTAAATGCTAAAAATTTCAGAAAATATTTTTAAATGACTGCCAAAAAGATTGAAAAATAAACATTTACAGAATGAACACTTATGGCCTGAGTAGCATCTCTTCTTATTCATGGTTTTATGAAGAAAAGTGGATAATGGCTGCTTTTCCTTATAGACAAGAACTGTGTATGAACTTTCATTTCTATGTGGTTCTAGAAGCCACAGGATCAGCCACGCAAATATTGGGCCTGCACGTCGAAGACACATACCTCATCTCCCATGTCCCGGTCTCCTACTACCGTATCTTTCCTATTTGTAAATTCTTTGTAGAAATTTAAATGATGTTTTACATTTAATTTTTTTTTTTTTTTTATTGAACACATTCTCAGAGCTTCTTCACATTCTTTGTAGAAAGGGGAGAATACACACAGAGAAGCAAATATATATTGGATTGGAAGTTCTAGGGAAGACTTTTGATAGATTATGGAAGTATTTCATCATTTAAAAGTTCATCATTGGGCTGGTCTAGCATTTGGTTTTGTTGTTTTTTTTTTTTTTTAACATTCAAAAGGGCAGGTTTATTATAAAAAGGGAAGGGAAGTCAAGGACACTTGCACAGACACAAGCAGGCAGAAAGAGCTTCCCCTGAAAGGAACAGGTTTGTAAAGAGATGCCTGCATAGTCACAGGCCGGCAGGAGAGCCGCTGCTGATCTAGCATTTTGAACAAATAAAACCATCATCAGAGAGAGCACTGATGAGAGTTCAAACTCTGACAGGTGAGCAAATCCCCCCATCTACATGATTTTACAGAGGGCAAGAATATTACAGGAGTCTGTATACAATTGTTTTAAGTATCTAAAGATCAGATACATGGACACAGCAGAGCTAACCAGCCTTGTAATGAAGTCTCAGACTCTATTCCAAGCAATTATCTTCCCATCAATCCTTACTGTCTAGATGAATACCCACGTCAAGCCTAAACTAAAGTATGGAAAATAAAAAGATTTTGACAACTGTCGGAATAACTCATACTTAGAAAGCAGCAAAAACCTTTTTTTAAAACTTACTTATTTGGGGAAGCTTTTTTCTTTTGTTTTTGTTTTGTTTTTAGTTTGGTCTTGTTTGTTTGCTTGGTTTGGGGTGATAAAATCTTCACTTTTCATTTGTTTCTAAGTCAAGTGGTCATTTGTGGATTTCACAAGCCTGAGCCAGGGGCTTACACACAGACAGGGAGGCGGCACATTCACCGCCTGGAAAGTGCTGACTCCTGGAAGACTGTCAAGTGAAGGGTGCAAAGGGCAGGTTTTTGTTCACTCTGGAGTTACAACTGACACAGCTTCCTTGAGATGAGTCAAGTAAATCTTGGGGAAACCAGAGCAACGTGCACACTAGGGAGAGAAGGGAGGGGTGGTGGTTGCTAGTAGGGAGAGAGGGAAATGCAGTCTCAGAAAGGTCTGCTGTGTTTTGCTTGTTTGGGCAACTAAGACAGGGAGACCAGGTGAAGAAAGAGTCCCCAGGGAAGAGACTGGGAAGTTGTCATGAATGACTTTTTTTTATAAGCTAAGAACTTTGAACTTTGTCCTAAAGACACTGGGGAGAACCTCCCTGGTAGTACACGGGTTAAAGACATAGCACTATCAAACTATCACCAGCCAATGCGGCATGAGTTCAATCTCTGCCAGGCTGCTGACCCACATGGCGCAGCAGACTTCTCCTGTCTCACCCACTGCTCCCCTCAGCAGTGTATCTCAGTAGATCCACCTGTTCTGCTCCCTACTCTGTCTCTGGTGAATCCTTTCACCCTGGCCAACACCCAAGTTCTTGTATGCACAAAATAAATAAATCTTTTAAAATAAAATGACATTGGAGAAACATGAAAAGATTTGAAGCAGAAAATGAGATGATTATAGTTTTGGAAAAGTCTCCTCTCTGCCCTCAGTTCTCCACGCTCTTCATCCTGGAGCAGGAAGTCACATGCTATATTCCCACAGAAGCTGCATCCCTAGACATGAACAAAGAATTACATCCACCCAGATGGGAATTCTTTTTCTAAATCATAAGCTCAAAGGAAACCTTATCCTGATTCACCCAAAGGAGTACTATGAACTGGGGCTGCCCTCGGACTTGCAATTTTTTAAGGAAAAAGAATAATGTCCTAAACTTATCCAAGAGAACAAAAAGAGAAGGTACGTATAGTAGCTGTTCACTCGCCAAACATTTTGAAGGTGCTCTCTTCACCCACCTCTGAGCACATCTAAGCTTTGCCCTATAACAGGAGACAGAGTAGGTGGGAGGTGAAGGAAATAAGAGCATTTTAAATGTTAAATCCCGATTTGCCACCTGCCTTCTCAATCTGATGCCAGCCTGATGTCCCCATTCTGGGTAGTGTTTTCAGCACTCTAGGATCTCAAACCCCAGAATCAGCTTTGACTCTTCCTTGCCCCCAATCAGTCAAGTTTTGTAGGGCTGTTTCTGCTCATTCTTTCCTTCTCTTTGCCCTTCCAACTTGCTGTTTTTGATACAAGTTCTTATTTCTCCTCACTTAACTCTTGAATTAAACTTCCAGCTGTTCTCCCTACTTCCATACTCTTTGATCTTCTATCAAGGGCTCCCATCTCATAAAGGATAAAGTAGAACTAGACAAGTTACTCCATGACAGAGGCTAAGTTTCCTCTCCAGAGTTGTCTCCTCTATTCCTGATTATTTCTGATCTCACTCTGTCTCAAATAACCTTACCCTTCCTCTCTGATCATCAAAACCCTACACACTTCCCCTGAAGAGTAGGCTGCCTTGTGAGACAGGGAACCTGTGATATTCCAGAAGAGGTAAAACAAAAACCCTGAGGGGATACTGTTTAGGGAATTTAGTATTGAATATATTTGTAGGATCTATGGATCCCAAAGGAATAATTCATCAGCAGAATCACTCGGCAAGCTTTTAAAAAATTCTGAGTCCTGATCCCTTCATTCTAGAAATTCTGAGTCATTGGGTTTAGAGTGAGGTCTTCTGAACCTGTATTTCTAAAAATCTTCCTTAGGAATCAGATTTGTGACTCTTTCCAAGTGTCACACATAAGATCTCCTACATCATTACATTTTTATAATAAAGAGCCTTCTCTGAACCTCCCAGAGGAACATAGTTTTTTCCACTCCTGTATTGAGAGCATTAATCATCTTCAGTCTTGTTTTATAATCTTATAACATTTAAGATATTTTCAGTATCCCAAGGATGTTCATCAGTCCTGTATTTCACTTACAGGGTCACAATTTCATCTGCCAAATGAAATTAAATTTGCTTGCAGTTGATCTGAAGGTGCTATGCTATTAATATTTTAAGGATCAGAAAAGAATGAAAGGCTATACAAAACTTAAAATAGCACGATTAAATACACAAGTTCTCCTGATAGCTACACTTTGATCTTGGATATGAAAGATTAGTAAACCTGAAATGTGTACTTTTCATTGAAACCGGATGTACACCATTAGTTCAAATGCAAATGAGAAGCCAAAGAATGATATTCCGTTAGAGTTTCAGGCTCACTAGCCCTCAATTGTCTACCCTTTTGTTCCGGTGCTGATTTTCCCTTTCATTTTTCATGTTTGCTACGTTTCTTTATCATGAATTGACCACTGGCAGTTATTTTAGGGCATGATGAGAGATTCTAAAACCTAATGGCACAAACAGCCACAAATTTTTTTCTCTC